TGCTCTTAACCTTATCTACCCTCTTCGACACTTCTTACCATGAGGTTGTGTGTTCCTTCTTGAGAGTCCTCTCATTGTGAGGTGTCGAGAGTCGGCAATGTTCACGTGGAGCATCTGGGAAAAGATGGGCGGAGCGTTCTGAAGGGCCCTGGACGAAGCACTGGGTCATGGTCACCATGCCAACCCGCCGGGAGTAGAGCACGCATGCTTTGCTGCTCGTCCTTTGTTTGGCTTGCTGCGCTGTTAGATGGGTACTGAAGGGCAGGCCAGCCCTAAGAGGGAGACGAGACCGGGCGTCTTTAAATAAGCACCGGACGGGGAAACCATTGGCTGTGATCGTCCTCCTGCTGCGACGTAAAATAATTCCTGATGACACTTGGGGGCGGTCGTTAAATTGCCTCTGGATCAGCCAATGGTTGTAAGGCTCGCTGCACGCGAGGATAATCCAGTGCAGGGCTGGCCAGCTCAGCATATACTCGGGGCACAGGGGTGGGCCGAACACACACCTTTTAGACACGCAATGCTCTCCGGATCGGTTAGGGACGCTGACGTCAAGTGACATTCGGGGGAACTAAGGGAGGGGTAGATTTCAGGTGATAAGTTTGAGAAAAATTCCATACTGTCCTATCCACACAAATGATTCTATTTTTATGTTTTGATTAGTTAGGTGTACAACCATTTGACATCTGACAGACAACATAATTAGAATTGTAACTGTTCATTGTGCATTCTGTTCGCGGACTAATCAGGCTAAAAATAGTTTCGTTTGTAGAAATCTGACTTACCTGTTGACCCCAAGTGTGTCTACTCCGAAATAGCCACCAATTAATTAATTGGTTTGTGCACTACGCTGCGGTAGGCATCCAAAGTGCATTAGTGCAGATTGTGTACAGTGTTGTAGCTTATGAGCGACGAGGATGACACTAGAGAGGACGACCGAATCTTGCGATCGGCAAGGCGCCCAGTAGCCCATTTGGCATTAGGTCCAGAGGGTGACAAATATTTGTTCCGCCAACGTAGGGAGAGGCAGCAGCAGCAGAGGAGAGCCAGGGCTAAAGAGGCAAGCAGGGCATTCGTAAGTGAAGCTGCAACTTTCAACAGCCATGGCCACTTCTGAGCAGCAGAGTTCCTAGGCTAGTAGTTCAGGAGCTGTAGGGTCAACGGTCGTGCAGACCCTGAGTCAGTCCACTGGCGTAATGGCAAGCCAACTAATAGTGTTGACTTCCGACGAGATCGCCATACAACAAGCAGCATTGCAGGAGGCGCAACTACAGAAGGCATTAGGGTAGATAAAAGCGGAGAAAGAAAGGATGATTAGAGGACGAGCCAGGATGCAGCGGAGACAAGCAGACGTTAGTGAGTTAGAGGAGATGGACCTGACGCACGTGACTGATGATGTGAGGACCATACGGTCCGTCCTGCTAAATGTAGTTGAAATGCAGGACCATCAGACAACCATCCTTCAGGACATTCAACAAAGTCTGGCCCTGTTGGCTGGGCGAGCGCAGGCAACGTCACCGATGTCCGGGCCTGGTGCCTGGCCCGTTGTACATCCTCCTCCTTTTGTCCCACCGGTGACTGGGGTATCCCCATACGTAGCCCCATCATCGGTCGCGATCGTTTCCCTGGGCATGCCGCTGTCAGGAGGGTTATCAGCAGGATCTAGTTTGCAGGTTCCTGTACAAACAGTGTTTACCCAATCTCCGTTGCAGGTTGCGGTTACCACGCAACCTGCTGTCTCGCAGCCCGTACAGCTGCAGGGTACACAGCCCCAGCAGCTAGCACAACAGCCTATGTCACAAGGTCCACAGCCCGAAGTGATGCAGGGACCGAAACAAACATAGTGGGTACCAAAGATGGCCATCGCCGCTCCCAAACCCTTCACAGGGGATAAGAGGGGCAAAGACCTCGACGCGTGGTTGAGGGCAGTGTCGATCTATGTCAAGTGTAAGCTCACCTTGCTGCACGAGGAAGTGCTTGTGGCTGCATCCTATTTAGAGGGTAGTGCAGCACGATGGTTGAACGGTTTATTGCAACTACAGGGGTACGGTCATGACTTCCGCACTTGGGCAGCCCACCAGAAACTGGAGGACTTCCTCAAGATGGTAGAAGAAAGGTGGCATGATCGTCAGGAGGCCCAAAAGGCCACTGATGCGATCTTGACACTGCACACGAGGCAGTTTAAGTCAATAAGGGAGGCCATCGACGCTGTAGAGCGTCTGATCTTTGTCCCTGGGATGCGCTATGACCCCCAGATTTTACTCACCTTCTACCTGAGATGCTTTCCTATGCCTCTCAGGAATCAGTTGGCAGGTGAGGCCAACATCAATGTTCACAACTTCCCCTCGTTCAGCAAGAAGGCCCTAGACCTTGAGGCAAAGATAGGGCATTGACATAATCCCACAACGGACGGTAGGAAGAAGACACAGCCTCCCAACTGGAAGGCGAAGGGCCGCATTATGTTTGTCGATAACGATGGTTCAACCATCGAATTAGACGACGACTTCCAGGAGGGAGTAGGTTCAGAGGCTGGCAGCACAGAAGCTTCAGAGGGTGGAGTAGTCGCTGCCGTAGCTCAAAAAGGTAAGGCGACCGGTAGACGCCACGGAGGCTCCCGATCAAGGAGTCAAGTTGACCCCAACGCTCCCCCATGGGAGAAGGCGGGTCTCACAGCGGACGTGTGGAGAGATCGGTATACACGGCAGACCTGTATTCATTGTGGTCAATATGGCCATAACCAATTCAAGTGCCGCAACAAGAAGGTGACCGATAAGACCCCGCCTACGACGGGGCAGACGTTGGGATCTTCCCATCCCGTTGGTAGTAATGTAGCTAGTACTTCTGGCACTGCTCCGGGAAACACGTCGGGCCAGTAGGAATAGTAGCTGTTCCTACTAGGGTTGAGGTGGTGGCTACACCCTCACCATCTCGAGAGATGGCCCAAGCTACTGACTCCAGCGTCGTCCCGCAAACACGTTCAGACCCATCGAGCCTCTGTTCGATGAATGTGTTTGAGTCCTTAGAGGAGGTAGAGGAGGAGTGGTCTAGATCAGACCCGCTAGCTTCTTGGACGGCCCTAGTCAAAGCCCCGAAGGGTGAGATGTTCGTCAACGAGGTGGTCATTGGCGGCCGCAAGGCCGGGGCCTATTATGACACTTGCTCGACTAGGAACTTTATCAGTCGCCCGTGCGTTGAGAGGCTGCGCTTACAGGGGCAAGTGCAGCGCCTGAGTCGACCTGTGGAGTCGACCTGTGCCAACAAACAGTGCATGGTAGTCAATGACTACCTCCAAGATGTTGAGTGTTGTTTCCCGTACGCGGGAGGGGAATTGAGACATCGCATCTCGTTCCTAGTGAGTGACGAACTCCCCATGGATATATTGTTAGGTATGTACTACCTCTCTGTGGCACAGCCCCAGTTTGACTGGGACCGAAAAGTGGTCAAACACAATTTGCCAGGTGGAGGGACTGCTAGATTGCGTAAGTTCAAAGCTAGTAGTCTGATTGAGTCCCACGGGTGCATGTGTGCGGCCGCGTTCTACAATTATTATAAGCAAAATCAGGAGGAGGGTATGTATCTAGTTTATGTCTCTGCTGCAGGCGAGCCGGTGAAAATGCCGCCGGAGATAGAGGGAGTAGTTGCCAAGTACCCTAATCTATTTGAAGAGCCGACAGGGGTAGTAGAGAGGGAGGTCGTCCATGCGATAGAGATTATCCCAGGGTCTAGTATCCCGAAGGGTAGGATCTATTGGATGTCTTCAGGCGAGCTTGATGAGCTTCGCCGATAACTCAAGGAACTCGTAGAGAAGGGTTGGATCCGGCTGAGTGTCTCTCCTTATGGGTCTCCAATACTATTTGTACCTAAGAAGAAGGAGGGAACACTGAGGATGTGCATTGACTATAGGCGCCTCAATGCCATCACTGTCAAAAACAGAGAGCCCCTACCACGCATCGATGATTTGCTAGATAGAGTGCAAGGGTGTCGGTACTTCAGTAAGATAGATCTGAACTCCAGGTACCATCACATTGCAATCCGGCCCAAGGATCAACACAAAACCGCCTTTCAGACCAGGTACGGTCTGTATGAGTTTGTGGTGATGCCTTTCGGCCTTTGCAATGGTCCTTGCACCTTTTAGCACACTATGAATCAGATATTCCATGACTACTTGGATAAGTTTGTCATCGTGTACCTCGATGACATACTTATTTTTAGTAAGACTGTCGAGGAGCACATTGCGCATCTGGACAAAGTCCTCAGTCTCCTGCGACAGCACAAGTTCAAGATCAACGGTGAGAAGTGTGAGTTTGGCCGCACCCGTGACTTGTACTTGCGTCATGAAATCTCCGCGGAAGGGTTGAAGCCCGATGACGCGAAGGTGGCCAGCATTCGTGATTGGCCACGTCCTCAGTCTGTGACCGAGATGAGATCTTTCTTGGGATGACAGGCTATTATAGGACTTTTGTTAAGAACTATAGCATAGTGGCTGCTCCTTTGACTGATCTGACCCGCCTTGACACCCCATGGGAGTGGACAGATGAGTGCGAGGTTGCTTTCAGACATCTGAAGCATGCGTTGACGCACTACGAGGTCTTGAAACTTCCCGATCCTGATAAGCCGTTTATAGTCACCATGGATGCCAGCCAATATGGCATTGGCGCCGTGCTTGCATAGCAGGAGGGGCGAAAGTTGAGGCTTGTTGAGTACATGTCCAAGAAAATGCCGTCTCAGAAGTTGGCCAAGTCCACCTATGAGAAGGAACTCTATGCGGTTTACAAGGCTCTGACCCATTGGAGGCACTATCTCCTTGAGAGGTTCTTCATCCTCAGGACTGATCATCAGACCCTGAGATGGATGAGAACCCAGCCTGTACTCTCTGGCGCTCTCAAGCGTTGGATCGAAGTCATTGAGCAGTATGACTTTGACTCGCAGTATCTGAAAGGGAGTACAACAAGGTTGCTGATGCCTTGTCGCGTAGACCTGATTTCTAAGGTGCGCTGATTACTGAGTTCGATCTTGCGGACAATGTTGCTCAGTCCTTGGTGGAAGCCTATCGTGAGGATCCGTTCATGTATGAGATCATCCGCAGACTCGAAGCGAAGGACAAAGTGAATTCTGCCGAGTTTGAGTTGGTCAACGGCTTGCTGTTCCTCAAGAAGGCTGGGAATAAACGTTTGTGTGTTCCTAATAGGGAGTCTTTGTCTAGTTTATTTTTAGGCGAGTGTCATGATGCCACCGTCCATTTTGGGTACAAGAAGCCCGCAACTAATCTGCTGCAGTGGTTTTGGTGGCCCACGATGATGCGAGATGCCCAGCTGTACGTGGAGACTTGTCAACTCTGTCAGAGGGACAAGCCACGTACGCAGGATCCTCTTGGGCTCCTGATGCCCCTTCCGATTCCGGAAAGGCCTGGTGATAGCTTGTACATGGACTTCATGGATACGCTGGTCACCAGCAAGAGTGGGATGAGACACATCTTCGTTATCGTGGATAGATTTAGTAAGTATGCTAGATTAGTAGCAATGCCGGAAACAACAAGGACGGAGTATGTGATCAGAATGTTCAAAGAGAACTGGGTCAGGGATTTTGGTTTACCCAAGTCAATTATCAGTGACAGGGATGTCCGATTTACCAGCGAATTGTGGAAGGCCGCTGCTGCAGAGCAGGGAACCCAGTTGCAGATGACTTCTGGGAATCACCCAGAGGCCAACGGTCAGGCCGAGCAACTGAATCGCGTTGTACAACACCTGCTGAGGCATTACATCAAGCCTAACCAGGTGGACTGGGATGAGAAGCTTGCTCTCATTGCCAGTCTGTACAATAATGTTGTACACAGCGCCACCGGGGTGAGCCCAAACAGTTTGCTATTGACTTTCAAGCCTAGATTGCCCGTAGATTTTCTCCTTCCTGAGAATCAGTCAACTGTTGCACCAGGTACTTTAGAATTTGCTTACCGGTACGAACAGAAGATGCAGCACGCTATAGAACAGATGCAGAAGGCACAGGCGGCTATGATAGAATCAGTGAACAAACACTGCCGCGAGTCTTCATTTCAGGTTGGGGACAGAGTCTGGGTTAAGTCCTCAGAACTGGGACAGGAGCATGGGATCTCCTGCAAGCTCATGCCACAGTACTTTGGACCATGGGAAGTCTTAGATATTGTTGGGACTGATCCGGATGGACCTTCTTACGTAGTCCGGATCCCTGGTCATCTTCGTACTTACCCCGTCTTTCACGCCTCCAAACTTGCACCTTTTGAGGAAACAGATCAGTTTCCCTCTCGTCGCTCAATGCTGCCCTCAACCATGGACGGAGGATATCGATGATATCGTGGACCACAGGGAGCTGCCAGCGCCAAGACCAACAGGCAGGGGACGTCCTCCGAAACCGAAGCTGCAGTACCTCGTCCGGTTCTGGCATCACACTGATCCGAAGGAGGAGCGCTGGTTCACCAGGGAGGAACCCATGCAGACCGCTCGGCAAGTTGTAGCCCACTACGAGAGATCTCTGCAGAAGGGAAAGCGCCCTATGGTTGAAGACTGAGCTTCTCAGAGGACTGTTGAAGCTAAGGAGGAGGGAATGCGAGGCCACTGCCTCTATGAGCCCCATTCGGCCCCTCTTTATAAGCCAGTTGGCTGCCCTAAGTGAAGGCAGGCTCGACGAGGCCCTCGGGGCCCTATTTCGGCCACCGCGCAACTAGGGAAATTCAGGCAGTTGCGCAGCGCCAGTTGG